ATGAAATGGTCTTCCTTTTATCCCGATCAACAATCAAATATCTTTTCTTGAATTATAAATAACACGAATGAATTGAAATATTTAATTACATTATCTCAAAATAAACCTTCATTTCGGTGCAATATTAAAATTAGCTTAAATTCTTCATAACCTCTGAATAGTGGGTGACCCAACGGGTCACGGGTGGTCTAGTTAAATATCAAAATGAACGTTATGATTAGCTGAGTACTGTATCTTTAAGGTATATTAGCCTTCAACAAACCTTATTATGTTGATCTAAAAATGTCATACAGTGGAGCTTTGAGATATAAGACTTTCTAATGTAGTTTTTTAAATATAAAATTGATCTGGCTTTCTTTTATTGCAAAACAAAGTTTGAAGTTGTCCCACATTTCCGATGGATATCTAATATATTGTATTGTTGGTTGGGTTTTCACTGCGTGGCATTTTTCTCATCAACTGTTGAGAAGTTTTGATGCTCAGTATTAGCCTCATATGTTTTATGTGACAATAAGTAAAATGAAGAAAACTGGATCTAGCTAGAAATTTGAGAAGCATGTAATCCTGTCTTCCAATGTAAATTTACAAGGTGTCCGAAATGTCTGGAGTCATAAGTGATTTGCAGCTTTTCTTAATTTCAGATACGTGACTGATTATGGTGCTGTCAAAGCATGAGAAAGTCGAGTTAATCCTGCTATTGATCCAAACTTGTTTGAATTACAAGGACAGCATGTGGAACACTTTCTGTAAAATCGTTGAAGTGCTTATGGTTCTAGACTTTCAGGACACCCTGTATAACATTGTAACAATGTATATAAGATCTTTGCAGTAATAATCTGACACTTCATGGAACAAAACTCCAGAAATGTGCTTCAACGTCCATAAGAAACCTTAATCTTCCCATTTCTAATACTATTTTATATTCTGCGGACTCATACTGCTAAAAACCGGGTTTCGATACCCGTAGTGGGCAGAGCAAAGATGGCGCTTTGTGTTTAATAACAAATAACAACAATTTTATATATTAACCTTTGATAGTCAAGTATAGCAAGCGATTTACAACTTCAACACTTTGTTTCCATTATCGTTACGTATTTGCTATGATGTTTAAACCTAAATATAGAAAGGAACATTTTGCGCCGAAAATGTTTTATTACTTAATTCAATATAAATTAGTATATTATTCATTTTATTTGTATTTCATTTTGCAGGTTCCTTTGAATTTCAAGATCACAGCACCATTATTCGCTTCCACACAGACGCCATTTCTACCAGTCGTGGTTTTCACATCCGGGTAACTCAAAAAGAGTGCAATTTCCAAGCGAGTCCCCCTCCGGACCTCAGCCCAGTTTATTGTAACAAGAGGTTTTCTAGTAAAGAATTTGAAATACGCAGCGTAAATTATCCCATTAATTACGACAACAATTTGGACTGCCGTTATACTATTTTACGTTTCAGTGACTTTGTTTGCAAACTAGAGTTTACTTTCAAGGAATTTCAGATTCCAAATAGTCCAAGTTGTTCCGATGATTACCTAGAAGTGGAACAGGAACGTTTGTGTGGCAAACTTACAAGTAACGTACGACGTAAGTCAGTTTTCTTGGGAGACTATCAGCTATCATTTGTGTGTGTGTGTGTATCAGTGACAATATATCATTATACATTGTTATTAATATTGTGTGTTTAATTAAAGTATAATCTATGGTTAGAAACGTTTTGTGCCATCAGCAACAAACTATGATTATAATTCGTTAGCAGAGTCAAATGTAAGTCATCAATAAGAAATGCGTCTAGATGGCTAAATATTCATAACACTTCCGCAGGAGTGGCCAAATAGATGCTATTACTAGGAAATTAGCTTGATTAGAAACCGGAAAGGTATCTGTAGTAAGTGTGCCACATAAAAAATATGTCCTACATATCTAGATAGATAAAATTAATACTTAAAATATTGAATTATAATAAAAGAGCTTAATAACATCAAATTAACCACAACAATTTAGGCTTATGAATACAGTTACTCTTACACCTATATGATCGAGCCAATTCAAAGTGTTTCTTGAACAAACGACTAATGTATCGTTAGATACAATATGTGTCCTATCAAAGATGATACGATGAACAATCATGTTGCATCGTGTGTGACCTTTTTTTATGGTTCTATAACATAACTGAAGATCCAGTTGTGAGCTACAACTAAAATAATTAATAATCTGAATTAACAAGTTTTACAGTATTTTCCAACTTTATCATTTATACATTGTTATTCTTTTCTTTATTTTTAAAAATTAAACAAATAATAATGAAATTGCTTCCTAGAATCTTATAAAGATTATATGTAGCTGTTGATGATCTGGTGAAAATGTTTTTAATTGCGATCATCTTCCATCATATTTAACACGGTGTTAATATTAGGTCGTCAAGAAATTAATAGATAAAAATACTCGAACAACTTCTATATCTAAACAAAACATTTATTAAATGAAATAGTCTCCATTCTTATCGATGATGCTTTTCCATCTTACGATCAGTTTGTTAAGGCCCTGGTTAAAGAAATCACTTGGCTTTGAAGCAAAAAACATGTCAGTGTCCTCTTTAACACCTTCCACACTTGCATACGTTTTCCAATTAAGATGGTGTTGCAGCGAACGAAAAAGATGGTAATCTGATATCTGGAGATATGGTGGGTGGGCGAGAACTTCCCAACCCAACTCCAAAATCTTGTGTTGCGTCAAACGTGCCACATGTGGACGTGCATTGTCGTAGAGAAGCAGAACACCTTTCCGATTAACGAGTAAAGGGCGTTTCTGATGAAGGGCTTGATTTCAACGCTCCAGTTGCTGACTATGGATCTCTGCATTGACAGTTCGCTGTGGATTGAGGAGTTTGAAATGAATTCCTCCTTTAATGTCCCACCAAATTCAAAGCATCACTTTCTGCGGACGGAGTCCAGGTTTTGGGGTCGGAAGTGGTTTTTGTCTAGGACTTAGCCATTGTTTTTGGCGTTTAATATTCGCATAGAGAATCCATTTTTCATCATCGGTGACAATTCTGTCCAAAAATGGTTCACACGCATTACGCGCCAGAAGAGACGAAGCAACGTTCACACGTTGGAAACGATGCTCATCTGAGAGTTTTTGAAGCACCCAGACACCTTCTTTATGGAGTTTTCCCATATTCCTTAGGTGTTTACGCATTGTTTCA